ATAGCTCACGAAAGATCCTGCCAGAAAGTGTTGAAAAACGTTTTGATTTTTGTATTAGTGTAAGTATTGCTGTGTTTCTGTGTGTGTGCGTGTGTGTGCGTGCCGAGTTGAATATATAGCTGGGTATGTTTTTAATGCATTTAAATCTACATAGAATGCTAACTGTATTTTAAAGCACTTTTATCCTCTTTTACTACAACACACAACAAAACAAATCGCCTCGTCTGATTTTAGCCAAGCGACTACGTGGGGTGCAGAATCGGGGACTCTCGGATTAGCTGCTGGTTGACTACCAACTGTGGAACGTAATAGGACAAAATGAGATATTGAGATATCTGTAAGAGAGAGACAGAGAGGGAGAGAGAGAGAGAGTATGACATAGAGGGAGAGGGACGACGCGCGACTGACTGAGATTGTATTCACATTTCGATTAATAAACAAATTCTTTTTATTTCTTTCAAATTGCAGCCTTAGTTTATTGCTTAGATTTACTTCATTTTGAAACGAATAAAGAATCGATCACAACAATAAAATGAACCACACATAATTTAACTACATAATAATATTTAGAATAATTAGTCTTACGCTCTCTATTCCTAAGTCAGTTTAAGTTATGCGCCTAATAAATGCATTACTAAAACAATGAAAACGAATGAAAAAAAAAAACAAAAAAAGAAAAAAAAAAAAAAAAACCGAAAATTTGACAAACTTTTGATTAAGATTTGGACTTATTTGTGTTTCTTATCCTTCCCACTTCTTTTTGCATATGATACAAAACGCATACGAATTATAGCGAAGCAGCAGTCTCCAGTTTTCCTTATTGCACAGAATCTAGCTTAAATTTTTCAACATCAGCAACAGCATACAGCGAGGATGATGCTGAATATGCCACGGGACGCCGTAACAAAACATCGAGGGTAAATATTACAATTTCAGAGCGACTAATCGCGACACTAATCAAATTCGAAAACAAGATCAAAGGATCAAAAGATAAAGCGCCCGAGTAACAAGTTTATTGCTCGTACTCATTATGTAACTGATTACTGGGGACCGATGACCGATGACTGATGATTGGTTGGTATTGGTTGGTTGGCAATGGCCGCGATGTCGATGTCGATGACAACGCCCACAACTCACACGCCTACAACTCACACAGAACGCACACGCACATCATCCCGAGAAGTTGGCCGCCGCTTTTGACCCTTTTTTATTGTACTCAAGCATTTAAAGAAAATAAAAACTACAAAACCGTTTCCAAATTAGTGAATTTGATAAAAAATAAAAAACCGAAAAATGAAGAAACATTCAAGTATTAAAAAATAAAAATCAAAAAAACAGTGGAAAGACTCATTACTTAGCATAATGGTCCAGAAGCTCCATGATCTTTTACTCACTAGTCGCTTAGGCACTCGTCGAGCTGCTTCTAATTGTTCTCCCCTTTGTCTGCCCCAACAGCAAGACCCTCTGTCGCATCGCATCATTGAGAAGCGTCGCCGCGACCGCATGAACTCCTGCCTGGCCGACCTGTCGCGCCTCATACCGCCACAGTATCAACGCAAGGGGCGTGGCCGCATCGAGAAGACAGAGATCATCGAGATGGCCATCCGGCATCTGAAGCACCTGCAGAGCGAGATCCTGCAAAAGGAGAGCGAGTACCGCAGCGGCTACATGGACTGCATGAAGGAGGCGGCCAAGTTCCTCTACGACAGTCAAATGCAGGACTTCTGCTACCGCCTTCTGGCCCGCCTGCAGGAGCACATCGACGAGGTGTTCAAAGGTACACGAATCCGTTTCTCTCCACCTTGAATGTATGTTAATGGATCTTTCTCTTTGCCAGCCGACTGCTACAAGTCCAGCCGCAGCTGCCACATGCCGGACAATGTGAGCGCCTCCAGCGGCAGCCCCCATCAGGCCTACCATCCGCCGCTGTGCCATCTGCGCGACATGCTGGGCGCCTCGGATGTGGAGCACAGCAACGATCACAATGATGTCAAGGATCTAAGCTTTCGCAACCATCTCAATCAGCTGCACCGCAGTCAGCAGGCGACCGCAGCGGCCGCTGCTGCTGCCGCGGCGACCAATGCCAGCACATCGTCGAGCGCCAGCATGGAGGGGCCGAGCGGGACCAAGCTGGCTGCGGGCAATGGCAGTGTCAATGGCATCGCTGCCGATAACATACCCACCAACTCAACGGGCTCCAATACTGCCAGCAGCAATGCGGCCAGCTCGACCACGTCGACGTCCACATGCCACACGCTGACCAAGATGCCTGTGGGGGCGGCAGCGATTGCTGCGCACCAGCAGCCGCATCAGGCGGCGGTGATTACGTCGACGGCACCCCACCACCACACGGACAGCAGCCAGCAGGACTTTGAGTCCTCGCACGAGCCGATGCTGCACACGGACACCTCGAACATGCATTCGCCGCCCCCGCGGGATGCACTGCTGCAGCAGCACGCGCACCTCGGCCACAGTCATCATACCACGGACAGCCAGCTGTCGGCGAGGATGCGCAACTACTCGGAGTCCTCGCACGAAATCGAGCACAACAACAACTACAAGTATAAGAACCACATCAAGGAGCGCTTCGTGCACGAGCTGCACGACGAGGAGACGAGCAGCGAGCACGCGCCGCACCTGCAGAACGAGCACTCGGACTTGCATGCGCTGTCGGAACACTCCAAGGATGGCACCGAGCCGGAGATAGCGCCCATCATGGCCAAGAAGCGAAAACTGGCCGAGGCAGCGGCCGCCGCAGCAGCCGGCTGCAACGGGGATCTGCCGCTGGACGTGCACAGTGAGGCGAGCAGCATCAATCCGGCACGCCCCATGGGCCCGGTGCGTGACGACAAGCCCTCCTTCAGCTTCAGTGATATCAAGGACATCAAGTCGGAGCTGCACAATACCAATTCCAATTCTAGTCCGCTGCTGGCCAAGCTCAGCGCTGCTGCTGGCGCCCAGCTGAGCACGCCGAGCAGCACAACGGCGCCGCTGCCGTCCCGGCACTCGTTCACTGTGCCCATCTTCGCGCTGCACGGCCAGGGCAACTACTACGTGCCACTGAACGTGGACTACAATGCGCTGGTGCCGTACCTCAATGGCGTCGATCTGCTCGAGAAGAGCTACACCAGCATGCCCGTGGTGCATCCCATCAACATCAATGTCAACTTTATGCCCAGCTCGTCGTCCTCATCGCTGCTGGCGGCGGCAGCGGTCGCTGCTGGTGCTGCAGCCGTTGCTGCTGGCAAGCAACAGGGCGTAACAGCCGCGGGCACGGCACCGCTTAGCGACAGCTCGGCAGCGGTTGCTGCGGCTGTAGCTATGGCCAAGCAGGCCATGCGCAGCAGCTGGTAAGCAGCGGCAATGGAAGAGAACAAGTCTACCTCACTACTTCTGTGAATAATCATCAAATGATTGATTCCTAATTTTGTGCGAAATTCAAGCTGTTGGGAGTCGACTTGGAAACAACAGTATAAACACACACTCACACACACACACATACACATTACTATTATTCTTCTGTACATATAAGGAATGCAGCTCGAGGACATTGAGCAGCCCAGTTCGGAACTGGGCGCTGTTGAGTGACCCCATGAGCATAGTCCACACTCACGTGCTACGGCTGTCAGCCAACTAAATGCAAATTAAAAAGATCTGTATAGAACTCTGTAAAGGTCTATGAGAAATTCACACAGACAGATATGGACATCAATTGAGATGCGCCAGTCTGATGCCAAGAACCAGCCCACGTTAGGAAAATCTAATGGATTCAAACTATAGTTAATTGTGAATTAAATGTATTTTTAGATGTGTAACACTTTTTGCAACTATAATAAGCGTTGTGGTTTCAAATCGGGCTCCAAGTGCGTTTTTTAAATAAATAAATATTCGTAAAGCACTAGTCAAATCAACATTTAAGCAACAAAACAAAATACAATGAAAAAGAGAAAGAGAAAAAAATAAATGGATGTGTACATATTGATATCTTCTTACAAATTATATAAAAGTTATCCTAAGTTGATGAGCTAGCCTAGAAATTGTATTTAAGTGTTTTTTTTTATCCAAAACTCTTGGACGAAGCTAGAAAAGCAGTTAAATTTTGTTAAAGTTTATACCAAATTTCATTTTCGAAATGGGGTTTATTTCGATGAACGTGTACATTTCTGATTCATCGCTGTTGTCGTCATTAGTCTTAATAAAATCTATGTTTATAAGTTGTGACATGTTAAATGCCCTTCAAATTCGAACATCTATATAAAGAAATAACAGAACAGAAAACAAAAAATATAAAAAAAAATCCAAACAAATTGAAATCAAATTATTTTCGAAAAATATTTGCTGCTTATAAACTTAAAGTTTATGCACAATATATATTCATGTTTTAGGGATTTTAATAATATGATTATTATGTTTACTACAGTACAATTAATATAATAACACTACGTTACCGTTTAATATATTTTATATATGTATCTATACCTACATATGTAATAAAGTTAAAACAGTTTATATCTTTGGTGGCCTTTTCCTTTAAAGTGAACAAAATCTTTTGCTTAAGAAAAAATTTTAATATACAAATTTAATAGAAAGTATAGTTTTGGGACTGCCATTATTATGATGCTAAACCGCTTCAGATGAAGAAATTTGCTCTGAAACAAAAAGAGGGCAATCAAAATAACAAATTACGTTGATGGATATAAATTTTAATCATTTGGGATGAGATTGTTACAAGGTTCCACGATTTCCACTAAGGCTATTTTTGTTAGTAAAGAATTAATGGTAGGTCGTTTGTATTGTAAATCTGGCATAATAGATAAAGCCCGGTCGTAGGTTTTTAGAGAACAAATTATTCTGAATTCGATAGGGGAATAAGATTTAAAAACTTTTTCTTCAAACATATGAAGATATAGTTTTAATAATGTATTGTTCACCTTATTAGTCACTCTTCATTGCAGATTCTAATTTCTAAGGAATGGGCTTCAATTATTGTAATTTCGTTTCCAAATGCATTCGTCATCAAGAGCAGAAATCTTAGTCACATTTACTCGATAAG